ACCCACCATTCCTCCCCCAACTCCAGGCTATCCTCCACCTCCCCCGACCTACAACCCCAATTTCCCACCCCCACCTCCACGTCTGCCCCCCACCCATGCAGTCCCTCCTCATCCTCCTCCAGGCTTGGGCCTACCACCAGCTAGCTACCCACCTCCAGCGGTCCCCCCTGGAGGGCAGCCACCCGTGCCCCCACCCATTCCTCCACCTGGCATGCCACCTGTTGGGGGGCTTGGGCGGGCAGCCTGGATGAGATAACGCGATGCTTTTCCCTTGTTTTTTTACCAAGAGTTGTCTAATCAACTTAAAGTAAATTGAGTGGGTGAGCAGCAGGGTACATAATGCTAGACAGTTGCAGTGTGGGAGGGAGGGACCAGGCCCTTGGGATGAGATGGAGGTGGTCCTCCCACCTGGAGGATGGGGACAGACCTTTAAGTGTGGCCTAGGCAGTGTCTGCTGCTGTCTGACCATATCTGGTTTCAGCTTATGTCAGTCCTGCATTGGGTTACTTTATACTGGTGAGAATGTTAACCAGCCATATTGGCTCAATAAATAGCTTCAGTAGGGAGTGACTTTCCTTCTAGAAATCAGTGCCTATTTTTCCTGGAAACTCAATTTTCAGTTGTCCCGTCCTCCCATCTGCAGTTGTGCTGTGGTTTCATTTGGTGGCTTCTGTCCATGGTCTCTCTAGTAGGTCAGGTGGGCCCCACTTAGTTTGTAGCTCTGCGCTCTCCGTTTGGCTATCTGGAAAGGGGGGGGGGGGGGGGGGCTTTCTTCCCTCCATGGAGAAAGAAATGTACTTGGAAAGTAATGTGTGTTTACATCCTTTGCAAAGTCCTGTACATAGAGATATATTTTTTAAGCATGAATGTAACAACATACTGTGAATTCCATCTTGGTTACAAATGAGGGCCCTTCATCAGTTACCCAAATAAATCAGTTCTGAAACTAGCCCCTTTGTCTGTTTGCAGCTGAGTTGAGGGCGTGGAGTCCACTGCAGACGCAGGTCTTGTCCTGCTGGCCTAAGGAGCCCAGGTAGAGGGACCCTGTTGCCAGGCCCTACCCTGGTCCCAGGGCCTCTGCTTCTGTCAGTCACCTTGTCTCATGTCCTGTGCCTTATTTGGAGGAGCCAGTGGAGTTCCAAGATACACAGGCTCCTAGATTGGAGCAGGCTTGGAAATCCTTTGTATCCCCAGCCTGGGAGTGGCCTCTACCAGTCCCCACCTGCCCAGGCACCCCTCAGCAGAGACAAGCACTGAGCACTGGGCCAGGAGGCTCGCAAAGAGGCCTTTATTTATCTAGCGCAAAGTATACACTGTCACATCGTGTTTGTCCCTCCTTTTACTAAAATAGTTCAAATCAATGTTTTTACCACGCTATCAAAAAGGTCTGGTTTTTTCTCCAGAAATCAAAGTGGTTCAGTAGAAGGTAGAAATGGGCTGGAGTCCACAGGCTCCAGCTCTGCACACAGCCGGGGCAGGAGGGGATGACTGCTGATCTCACCATCACCTATAGAAAATAGCACAGCCGCTGATCCAGGGCGGGAACCAGACGTTCTAGCCCCTTCCAAAAAGCAGCACAAATACTTTCCCCAACAGTATGAAAATATGCATCTCTGCCACTGCAGCCATGCAGTTTCTTTAAAAAAAAAAAAAGAATCAGTAGTATGTATTTCACTTCCTCTCAAGTTTCAAGAAAGAAAACTGAAAGGTCACTTTTTTCTCTTTAAACACTAGTGTGTAGCTTCTGAATAAAAACTGTGCTGCTCTAACAAAAATGTGCTCAGCAGATCTGACTCCTGGGATAGGCAAGGCCACCGGGGTGGGGCTGGGTGACCCGTCACAGTGGGAACTGGAGCCAGTGCCAATGTCCTGTGGGCTTGAGATGGAGAACAGGCATGGGAAAGGTCATGTCACTCAGACCTTTCCGAGCTAAGGCTCCAGAAGGCAGGGTCACCTGGTCATCCTGAGCTATGGCCTCCAGGCCTCCCCACTGAAGGAGCCCGCTCAGCTCCACAGCTACTGACTGCCCCTGAGCTGAGTTTCACTGCTGGCTCTTCCCAGCTGTTGTGTTGGAGGTGTAACGCAGGGGCACAGGTCCTGTCCTAGAGAGCCATCCCCATGCTGTGAGACTCGGCACAGCTTGTGCTGTCCCTGTGGCAGGCAGGATTCTCCAAGAAACACTCTTTGGATCCCTGGATGCCTGCCTCTGCAGAGTTAAGAACTGGGACCCCTCCAGAGAGGAAAGGTGGCTTCCTTCCAGTTCTTTCCTGGCCAGTCTTCAGACTCCAGGAGCCCTTACCTATTGCTTATTTCAGTGGTGGCCAAGCCATCCTGATCCAGATGTGACTGTCAGGGACTCACAGACTTGACTCCCACCCAGTGTAGACACACACGTCAGTGCTATGCTAGGATTCCTTGGCCTCTGAGATCCAGGAAGGGCCTGTACCCTGCCAGCCTAGCAGCCCACTTGGCAAAAATTAACCAGTACCAGGACCAGCAGGAGAGGTGATAGTTGTTTATCCCCTGGCCAGACAGCAGCTCCTTTGAAAAGGAGGTTCCTGGTGACACCCTCAGCAAGACCATCAGGCCTGTCCCCTGCAGTACCCGCGCAGCACTCCCTGGGCACACTGAGGGCCATCAGCCTTTCCCCTGAGAGTGTGGGACCCGAGGGTGTGGGCAGCAAAGGCAGTAGGAACAGCTCAGGGTCACAGGGCCTTGTCTGGGAACAGGAGCGAAGATGCCATCTGCTTTCCTGACCTGGCCTTTGCTCACGGGGGCCTGAAGGAGACCTGCCAGAGGCAAAGCCAAGCATGTTGGGCTCCTCGGGTGCTTGTCGCATGGGGCGGGGCTCTAAGTACCACTGGAAGAGGACGGCGATGGAGTGGGGAAGTAAACAAACAGCTTGAGCGATGTCAGCAGCTGATCCTGTGGCCCGATCCTGCAACGGGTCTTGGGATGTCATTTGTACATGTCGGAAAATCACCCACTTCCTCTGGGCCTCATTTTCCTTGGTCCGAGTTAATTCCCTGTTAGGCTTCACAGTGGATTCAGGATCAGTTACACTCAAGCGGTCATTTGATCCCTGTGGCCCTAGTCAGGAGGGCCTGGTGCTGCCATTTTGCATCTGAGGATACAGGCTCAGAGAGGGGGTGACCTGTGATCGGACAGCAAGGCAGCCAGACAAACAGGCTAGCCCACCTAAACGCCTCTCCAGCAGGTCACCACATTGGCTCATCAACTGTAAGGACAGAGTCCCACTAGAGTAGGGTGGCTTCTACAGTGAGCAGGGCAAAAAGGAACCACAGATAACTCATCTTCCCATCACAGACCCAGAAAAGTCAAGTAACTTGCTGAAGGTCACACAGCAAATTAAAGCCAGAACCAGGTCTGGCTCCTGCAGCTCTGGCATAGTAACCCAGATGTAGCCAGCCCTGGCAGAGGCTACACTGACCAGTGCCCCAGAGACAGTACCTGTCCAGAGAGCATGCTCAGCTCAACCCATACTCTCCAGGACTTCCTATGTTGCTGTAAACCACAGAAAGGGAAACCCGGCAGGAGAGACCTGGAGAGAGAGGGCTAAACCTGGCACAGGCAGGGAGCTGTACAAAGGGGAGCAGCAACCAACATCGGAGTGGCTGGGCACCAACCCTCAAATAGCTGGGTAACCCTGAGCTCCCAGGGCTGAGCATCAAGGACTTGGGAACCCAGAGCATCCTCCAGCCAGCCATGGACACACGCAACCCAGGGCTCCATGACCCAGGAAGAGCGCCACCTGTGACATCATTCAGGCTCTGGTGGCTGCTTCATCCATTGTGGTGGGCAGCTAGGGTGGAAGGCTCAGTGAGATGAACCTCCACTGAGAATAAGACACAGAGCCTGCAACAGTTCCTGGGCCTGGAATATCCCAGAAGTAGCCTTCAACCTCTTGCTAGTGGAGCATGGGGCCCAAAGAGGGAGCAAGGCCACCTGGCTGCAGCAAGCAGGCAGTGGCTTCTTCCCAGTTTGCTGGTGTTGGGGGGCGGGAGGTGGAGCCCTGGTCATCAGTGTCTCACACCAGGGCAGCCAGGGTGAGGCATGTCCTATGTACAATTCACCACGGAGAAAAACGGTAGCTAGCCCCGAGGTCCTGCCATGTCTGGGGCCTGGAACTCCAGGAAGGGCCAGTCCACGTCCATGGAGGAATGGCCCTACAAAGGCCCCTTGAACTGGTTACCCGACAGGTGCTGCCGAATGGAGGGCTTGGTGCTGGCGGCATCTCCCAGTTTCCTCCAGACCACCTGTGGGTAGGCATGAGATGTGAGTGTAAGGTTCACCCCAAGCCCACCCACTGGTCTCACACATCCACTGCCTTACCACCCTGCAAAATCACCTATAGCCTCATAGGGCTGGGAGGGGAAACTGAGGTCACAGGAAGCCAGGATGTTAACATTCAGGCTTTGCCAACCCTCAGGCATGCCTGCCCCCAAAGCTGTTTGGTGTGGGCTCATCCTCAAAGATGCAGGCCCAGAAGGCAAGGAGATGCAGTTCAGGACATCCCGCCCAGCCTAGGCCCCAGGTTCAGACCCTATGAAACCAGTTCCCTGCTGGCTCCTGGGAGATCCAAAGGAGATGACAAGTGGTGGTTGCTCTTACAAGCAGTCCCAGCCTCCCAACTAGGAAGAGAATCCCCACCTGCACAGCCAGCTCCGAGAATTACATACAAGGCCAAAAGCCACCAGGGGGCGCCCATGAACAGAGATGCCCAGGACCCTAGGATTGGAATGAAGACCAGAGCCCAGGCTGTATTCCAGAGCTCCCAGGGAAGGGTCAGATCTGATGAGAGGTCGGGGGAAGGTACAGTGAGTGATGATGGGTCAGGGCTCCCAGAGCCTGTCATCCTCCCGCAGCCATCTAGGCCACCTGGCTATTACTGATCAAGTGAGAAGCAGGTGGCCACACTCCAGTGCCGAGCCCCAGCCCTGGGAAGTGCTCACGTTGCACATCTCTCGGACGATGGCCTTCTCTTTCTCGCTCAGGTCCTCCGCACAGCTGTTCTGGAGCTGGCGGTCGAGGTTCTCATGTACCTCCAGGACCTAAAGGAAACAAGGGTCAGTCAGGCAAAGGCCAACACCAAGCCCCTGAGCCACTGGGAAGAGGGACATGAAGGAGACAGGAAGGTCAGGCAGGAACTTACTCCATGAGTCACACAAGGATGTAACAGCCTGAACCAGTTCCCATGGGACGTGGCAGTCACTGCCAACACCCATGTAAGGCTGGGTATCCATGCACAGAGGAGGAGGATGACCATGGTACACGTAAAGGGAAGGAGGAGAACCTTAGCACAGGACTGTGCGCAGGTACTCAAGCACACCCTGGGACACCAGAGCCTCCTGGGACCTACCTGCGTGCAACTGGAGGCTCGAGGTTAGCCCTAAAGACAAAGGCTTCAGTTGCGGCCTACTCCCGCCCCCTATCTCTGGCTTTAGGGGAGTGCCTGTGCCCCACTCAAGGTCTGTTTCCCCAGCTGCAACACAAACATTTGATACACAACCACATCTAGCCCTGAGTCCCTATAGGGCTCTGGGAAGCTATGCCCCCCAGCCACAGAGATGCAATCTCCTACCCCCAATGCTCAGGTGCCCTCAGCTTAGAGAGCACCTGTGGGAACAAAGGCCCCAGGATCTCACATTGCACCCAGCAGGGGCAAATGGCACTTTTTACCTTCATGGCATGTACAACCGCCTCGGGCTTCTGTCCTGCAGAGCTGTAGACAGTGGAAGGGGGTGAGGGCAGCTCAGGTACATGGCAGGCAGGGCCCTGCGGGAAGAATGGCACATCTGAGCCTCCTGGCTGGTTCCCAGATGCCTGTCACTGGAGTGACCAGCAGCTTAGATTGTGTGGGGCCAGTGCCCAGGCAGGAAAATACAGGGGCTGGGGGAGGGGGGGTGTCATGGGTGAGGCACGGGCACCCTGGGAGCCCTCTTTGCTTGGCTAGTTCCCATGCCTCTGCAGATTACATGGTGACTTGCACTAAGAAGTGCCCCAGGATCAAGTCAGCAAGGGAATACTTTGCAGCCTGGACGGGTGAGTAGCTCCTGGCATCTGGGGGTGAGCCTGACAAGGAGACTGAGCCACTTCCTCCACAAGACATGGGCCCTGAGGACTCCAGCACCTGGAGAAGCTGAGCAAACAGGGAAGGCTGCCATCCTGAATCCTGCCCAGCCAAGACCATGCCACAGGACCACCATACTAGCCCAAGAGGGGCTAATCAGTTGCCCCCAGGCCGAGTCTTCCATTGACCTGGCAGTCCACCCCTCTGATCTCTGTCCACCTAGCCTGAATGCACCCCAGGGCTTTGCAGGCTGGACTGCTCCTGTTTCCACCAACGAGTACCAGCAGGCATGGGGGTCTTGCCCTACTCCAGTCCCCACAGGGAAAGCCAGGTTTGGGTGAGATGCCTTTAACTGGAACTTAAGTAGGGGCTTAGGCTGCTCTAAGCCTCAAACAGAAAGAGTCCTAGGTTCCAGGAAGCACACACAGCCCTGGAGGAGACCCAATGGCTGTGTGTCAAACTCTAGCCCAGGCCGCCTGGTCTGTAAAGTAAGAAAACCAAACACGGACAGGGAGTGGGGTGGGGCATATCACCGTGGGGCTGCAGCAGGAGGTCGGCTGGACTACAGCTGAAGTCACACTCTGCGCACTGGCCAGCAGGGGGTGCCAGCCACAGCCACATGAATAAAGAGAAGCTGGGTCTGGCCCAAGCACCTCACCCTGGGGCACGGGCTGAGCCTGAAACTCAGGTCTCTGTGACACCAGAGCTAATGCCAAAAGGGTGGAGCTCAACTTCCCCCAAGGACCTGTCCAAGCCTTAATCCATGGTCAAGAGGCTGGGATTACAAACCACCTCCTCCCTAGGCATGGCTGGCAGCAGCTGGGCAAGGAAAGGAAGGGTGCACCCACCCACCCACTTTTACCTGGAGCCCCTCGTGACCCTGCAGCCCTCACTGAGCTCTGTGCCCCACAAGGGGTCTGGTCCAAGCACAGAGGAGTACGGGTACTGACAGTGCCTACAGTGACCATCTGACCATCAAGGTGACAAACAGGCTGTCTAGGACCCAGCCAGGCCCAAATCCCTGAGCCTTTGCTACCACCACCCCTACCTCCACCCTCCGCAGCAGCCTTGGTAACTTCTGTGGCTGGTATCCCCAGAGGCCTGCCTGTCTCCCCCAGCTCCTCCTACCCTCTGCCCTTTGGCTGACCACCCTGGACCCCTGACCTCATGGAACAGAGACCCCCACCACAACTATAATCTGACTCTTGATCACGAGGCTCGTTCAGGTACCAGTATGCCCTGGCCATGTGGCCATGCCCTCTCCGGCCCCATGGGTACCATGGAGCTCTCTTCCTTCTCTCCAAAGCAGGGTGCCAACCCATCTTGTAGAGAGGCCTCTTCCATGAAGCCTTTCAGAACCTTCTTTCCTTCTTCCAGCAGCCTTGTCAGCACCTGGAGCATGCTCTCTGCAGGCTGTGCGGAGTGGGCCTGCATCTAGCAGGCTGACCCATCACCAGCACCAACACTGCATCTCACCGGTTCAGGTGACTTGGAGGGCGTCAGTTCACAGCACTCAGTAAGTGTTGGCTGCTCTTAGTCCCCCAAACCAACCACCAGAAAGGAGGGAAGCAGACCCAGAGAGAGGCCAAGGGAAGGCAAGCCTGAGGAGCCAGCCCCCGAGCAGCATCACTTAGCCCTCAGAGCCCTTCATCATGAAGCAATTAGAGCCTCATTCAGCCACGGGGCTCCTGGATAAATATTTGGATTATGTGCAGTCAGCGGGTTTGGCTGCCTGCACAACATCAACAGCTGCATTCTTGGAGAAGGTGGCCAGGCCTCAGAAAAGAAACAGTAGGAGGTGGTTGCCAGTGGTAGCGTGAGCCCTCTTCTGCTAGCACTGTGGCCCACCAAGGCCACAGAGAGGCCAACATTAGCCTTGATGGTCATCATGGACAGGGAGGATGCTGGGAGGACGGGACCCACAGAAAGAGGACCCACACGCTACCCAGGAAGTCCCCTCAGATGACCAGACTAAGGGAGATCAGCACCTCTGTATGCAGTATGTGACCAGCCATGGGGACTCCTCTCCGGCCGCTGCTTTAAGCCCCCAGCAAGGTGGGGGCCCGCACTGTCCTGTGGGCAGGTAAGAATGCCAACTGGCCTGAAGCCACACGGTAAGGAGGGAGGTGGGCCAGGACTCTCACAATCCTCTGTGTAGTGACACAGGGATGATAGGCACACCTACCCAAAGAATGCAGCCCAGGAGTGAGCAGCCAATTCCTGAGAGCTGGCTCTAAACAGTCACTCAGTTCTCATCCAGGGCAGAGTCCAGGTGAGCATGTTTCAGGTGACCCTGGAAGCCTGTGGTGTCATCTCAGTACAAAGCCTACTAACATGAGCTGTTCCACCTCCCTCAGTCACAGAGCCTGGATATGGACCCCAATCCTAAACCTCCCGGTGGACTTCCCCCACCCCCACTATGCCAGAGGAGTGACAGATTCATGAGTAGCACAGAACGGGTGCTTGGCCTGGGCAGCCCCCTTCCATGGTTTTCAGACACTTCCCTGAAAGTCTAGCAGTATCACCCACCCAAGACTTCATTTCTCAACTCCCCACTGGGTCCTTGTGAGGCTCTAAAAGTCTAGGAGCCCAGGGTCTCTTCCCAGGAGGGCAGAGGATAAGGAAGGACACTCCAGGCTGGGATTCCCAAGCCCTGGCTTGACCACAGACCACCCGCATGTCTGAGCTGTCACCAGCCTGTCTCAGCCCCGTCTGTCTCCTCTGGAGCTCAGAACAAAGACCCTGGGAGCACTGGACCAGGAACCCTCGAGTTCTCTGTGGAGACACTTACATTCTGTAGGACTTCCTGGTAGGAGGGTGGCAGGGACGCAAGCTGGGACTCTGAGTGGTACGGGGAGAAGCCTTTCCGCAGCGTCCGGAACTCTCCAGAGCCCACCTGCTGCACAAGCAAGGAAGACAGGGTCAGATCCAGGGGCATATGAGGGGCCAGAGGCCTTCATGCCAAGACCTCACCCTGGGCCAGGTACTAGTCCTAGACATGGCGTCCTCCTCCCAACAGTGGGCCTGCTCAAGGGTGCCTCCCTGAGGCTCCACCCTGCCAAAAGTGTTGAAGGGCTGGACACGCATAGGAATGTATAGCTGACTAGCTCGTTCCTCTGCTCCAGCATCCCACAACGAAGTCCCCACATGCCAACATCTGTCACCAGGGTCTAGTGGACACCCTCTCCACCCCTGGACCATGACCTCTGGTAAAGCCTCTGTGGCCTCTGGGAGCCTCATCACAGTGCACAGACTGCCTCTGCCATCAGGCAGGGGAGCTCCCCCGAAGCAGGCCTGGTGTTGCCCTTCTGAATCGACAAGACCAGAGAGAGCGGGTGCCTGGGAGGAAAGTATGCATCAAAGAAGGGCAGGCACACACAATGTGCTGACCTGAGGTGGCTCCCCTAAGAGCAAAGAAAATCCCAGAAGTCAGGCTGGTGACCCGGGATCCAGAACCACAGTCCCCCAGGGCCAGTAAAATTTCATGAAATTTCATGAGGCTTGGTCCAGGCTGACCATCTTCCCTATCCAGCCGGACAGAAGAGAGCCTTCCTTTCTGTGCCACTAAGACTTCAAAGGATCAGCGAGCGGCATGGGGCTAATAAAATACACAGGAATGTCCATAAATCAACAGGCTGCTGACTTCCCCAAACAGATCAGGAAGGGAGGAAGCCAGGCTGGACTGGCAGGGAGGAGGCGGCTGGACAGCAGCCCTTTGTGGGAGTCCCTCCTCCCACTCATCAGCCCCCCCCCAACCCTGCCTAGGAGAGACCCACACATACCACTGCTGGCCTCCTGCAAGGTGTGAGGCCTAGTCCTCTGTTTCTCAGTGGTGGGGAGCCCTCTCTCAAACCTCCCACCACCCTACTGCCAGAGCTCCTGGCCTCAGCAGCCTGCAGATGGCAAACAAGGGAAGCTCAGGTAACAGAGGTGCCCAGAAAGACCACCAGAGTTAAGATGGAATAGCCACTCCCCACCAGTACCCTCCCCCACACACACATTAAGGCACTTGTCACAGGGTCCAGCCCAAAAGCAAGCCTGTCAGCAGGGCAAGGGGTGCACAGGGGTCTGTTCAAAGACTCGGGGGCAGGCACATTGGGCTGAGGCTGTTTCTTCAGCCTTGGAGAGGCTCTGGGTGTGACCCAAGGTCATGGAGATACCCAGAAGCCTCCTGGGGTAACTGCACATCCCAGGCATGGCATCGTCTGCAAAGGAATCTCTTCAGGGGCCTTGGGAACAGCCTTAGTCATCAAGTGGGGCTGGGCTGCCCTGACCACAGCCCTGTGTAGGCTACTCCGAGGTGTTCAAGGCCACAGAATGTCCAGCCTCCCTGATTCAGCCAAGGGTTGGATCAAGTGGAGCCTGCTATGACAAGATGCCAAGAAAAGCAGCTGCCCCTGACTGTGCCCAGCAGTCCTTAACCCCACCATGAGTGGTCCCACTACCACCATGTCTCCCTGAAGGGGGTACCCCAGCTCCATACAAAAAAAAACAAACCAAGCCATAGCCAGCTCTCTATGACGATTACCAGTCTCTAGCTGAGAGTGAATACCTTCTGAATTCCAACGTGCTCTGAAGGTTCCCATCTGAACACACCTTGAGACCCTCGTGGGACCCTTACTACCAATGCTGTTCTGTGGGAACATCCTGCTGCCTTGCTGGGCCTCGTACTGAAAGTAAAGATGCCAGGGGCAGGATACCAGCCCAGCCCAGAATACATAATGTCCATCTGGGGCCACAGAACCAGGAGGGGCAACCCAGATTGTAAACTGGGCTCTCTCCCATCAGCCCAGGGACCAGGATGGCAGGGCCTGTCTGTCCTGTCCTCATCCACACGTGGGATTATATTTCAGCTGGGCTTCCTTTTCCCATGGCTTTGCTGGCTCTCAATCTAACAGGCTACTGAGCATGGAGCGCTATTACTGAAAACACTGCCCAGTGCTGCAGCCCCGGCCTCCCCAACTTTCCCAGGAATCTCCTTGGGAGGAAGTGTGTGCCAGGTGGGGGGCTGGGGGTTTCAATGAGCAGTATGCAACTCCCCACCCCTACCTTGGGTGAGCATCTATAAATATTTGCATGTGCACAGAACTTTATTAGCAAGCCACAAAGCCAGGCAGGAAAACACACACAATCTCTCATTAAGGGGCAATGTGACTAATGACGCATCGAATGAGTAACCACTGCTGCACTTAAATCCAAATTAAAAACACTGCTGGTTGCTGCCTTGATCCCTGGGCTGAATGAAATTCCAGTTTTCAATTCAGAGGGGAAGCAGGGGCTGCAGCCCCCCTTGGGGTCAGGGCATTTGCCATCGTAAAGCAGAATGCCTCCAGGGAGCCCCCCACCACCACCCTGATATCCCTGGGGGGAAGATGGAACTCCCTCAGGCTGCTCTTGGGCTGGAGCAGGGATACTGAGTTACGCAGCTGTGGTCCCCCGCACCCTGCTGAAATCAGCAGGACCCTTCCACCCCAGGGGAGCAGGCCATGCCAGCCATTCTCCCTTCTAAGGCTTCTGAGGAGCAGCATGAGAATTCCGAATCAGGAATGATGAGACAGACCCAGGAGGCTGCAGGGCCCCTTTTCACTGAGACCTCAGAATCAAGGCGACCTCTGCCTTGGGCCATCATCTAACGCCACCCCATCAGTGCTGTGTGATCCTCTGCTACTCCTGGGCCCTGTCTGGGCCTTGATGCTGCCAAGAGGCTCCTCAGGAGGATTTCTGCTTGCAGAGACCCAGGGGTCTCACTGGAGTCACATCTGGGATAGACCCTGGCGAGCACTGTCAGAGGACGGTATTGAACAGAAAGGGGGCGCAGGTTGTGGAGTCAAGGAGGCTGACAACACTCCTGGCTAGTTCACCTAAGATTCCTTGCTGGGGAAGACGGGGCGGCCAGAGGCTGTGGCAGGGACCCCTTCCTAGGCTCTGCTGGAGGGAGCACCTCTCACATCTCTCCACTTCAAAAGACTTTCATCCCCTGCAGTATGCCACCTCTAGCAGCTGCCCCGTGCTCACAAGGCACTTGCAGAGAGCTTACTGTGTGCCAGGTGTAGCACCTTGCCTCCTGGTTGAGTCAGAGCTAGAGGTAGAAGGCAGGCACTGAGGAGGGTGTCCTTGTGTCCTAACCCAGCAGCCTGCCTGCAGTGGCCACTCTCACCAGAAGGCCCAGAGCCCCAGGCTGATTTAGCAAATAGCCAGGGAGGGACCCCTCAGCAAAGCCACGGACACTGGACTTGCCTCTCAGCCCCAAGTGCAACTGGTCTGGAGCTTTCGGGAGAGCTCAGGGTATCTGAGGGCTCCTCCTTCCCTGTGAGTCTCTAGGACACCCAAGACATACATGGGGACCTCAGCCCCCATGGCACTAAACAGTGAGGCATGGCCAGAGCCCAGGGTGGTATCTTGGCCTCAAGGGCTCCTCTCAAGGAGCCAAGTTTGCTGCAGCAAAGAAGCCTGCTTCTGCAGGAGAGGTGAGAACTAAGGCAGAAAATGCCAGAAGGAGCCATTGCTACAGGCCCTGTCACTGCCCTGCCATGGGCTCCTGCAAGAGCAGGCCATGAGCCCTCCCACCTCCCTAGGGCGCCAAGCTGAGGGTGAGGTCTACAGAGGGCTCAGGTAACACTTCTCTCTATTCTCACCTAGGGGCAGCCTCCTGGGTCTGCTGGCCTCCTCCCTCCAGCTCATCTTTGGTCATAAAGAGGATGGCTGTGGGAGGTCCCGGGGTTGGTCACTGAAGCATAATTAACGGTCTGGGAGCTGAATAACACACTTGGGGCCTCGGCAGCCTGAAAGTGTCACTCCACCCAGGAAACACTGGGAAACAAACAGCTCACCATCTCACTGGCCAAGCTGACCCTACCTGGAAGCAAGAGGGAGGACTGCAGAGGGAGGACTGCAGGCAACAGGTCTCTGGGAAGCTGTTTTCCTCTGAGGGGCAGCCAAGGCCACAGATGACCTGGGTGAAATGGGCCTGATCCAGACCAAAGCCCACATGAATTCTGTCACCTGTTTCAGGTAGAACCCCCAGAAGGGGCACTCACAGAAGGGTGAAGGAGACAAAAAAAGCAGCAGGTTCCATACAAGACTGGCCTCTGTCTGAACCTACGGGTGCTGAGCCACGCACTGTACCAGCTAGTCCTACTTAGCACAAGTGGAGTGGGGTGGGAGGGTTTGGGGGCTGGACCCACATGTCAGTCCATCATGGCTGTGAGCTGATATAGAAACCTGGACACTTTGTAACGATCTTCCTGGTGTGGCCAGGCAGTCCCAGGCCTGGGGTCTGGCACATAGTCATGTTGCTATAAATCAGTGTTTCTCAATGAGGGTGACGCTGCCCCTGGGCAGCATCTGGCAATGTCTAAGACATCTTTGGCTGTCACAATTGGAGTGGTGAGTACAAGCCAGGGAGGCAGCCAAATGTGACACTGTACAGAACAGACCCTCTAACAAACAGTTACCTGGCCCCATGTGTGCACAGAGCTGGCACATGGACCAGGATATTGCAAGGACCCCTAGATGGTACTCTAGAGCAGGTACCTGAGGACTAGGAGGAGAGGCAGAGGCAAAGCCACTGACAGCCTAAAAGCTGGTAAGAGGTCTTAGAGTAGGTTACCACAGGAGCAAAGACAGCCCACCCTACCCAACCATATGCCCTACCTTTCTAGAATCAGAGGCAGCCTCCCACACAGCCACTCATGCTGGCCTGAGGAACCAAACATTATGTTACAGAGCCCCAGTTGGCAGCCCACAGGCTGAGCTGGCCCCATGACACGGGTCATTCACCCTGGGAGCCAGAACTGTACAGGCCAAACCTTGGCTCCACCACTCACTTGTGTAGCCCTGGCAAAGCCCTCCTCCAACCCTGTACTGCAGATGTCCTGCTGCAGAGCAGGGATTCCCACCAGCACACAGACTCCATCAGGGCATCCAAAGTCTGGCCAAGGAGCATCACTGCAGGACTCTTGCTATTACACTGCAAAGCAGGAATTAATGGCAGCTCGGCAAGGGCAAATCCCAAGAAGAATCTAAAGGTAGGACCAGTAGATCCTGGAGGTGGTCAGCTCCCAGGAAGGGATGAATGTGGGAGGGGACACCGCAGACACACCACATAGCACTCAGCAGCCCTCCCGCCCCTCAGCGCCACTGCAAACCCCTTTCCCTCCAGCAGCTCTACCTGAAGCAGGCTTCTCGGGTGGCAGTAAGGGCGGGGTAGCTGGAAGGAAAGAGAACAGTGTCACCCTGCAAACACCAACCCAGCCCGTGCCCTCTGCCCACTCCCTTCCCCAAATACAGACTGACAAGGCCATGGGATCTAGGTTAACCGAGTAGCTTCCCCACGCTCAAGGCTAGAGCTATGATCCTAAGAAGTCACTCACATGAGCTCGTGGATTAAGGAACTCTAGATTCAACGTGATAAAAGCCGATTTGTGGGAGGGACCCCAGGGATGCTCACCATTCAGAGCCTACCCTAAAGCTCAAATACTCTGATTCCTTTCTAGGGACCTTCAGCCCTCCTGAAGGTCCTAGAGGTACCCCCAAGCTCCTAGCCAGCTCAGAAAGGCCAGTGAAAGACATACTCAGTAATGCCAACTGGATCTGCTCTCATTCTCTTTAATCTTCAGAGAACTCATTTGCAGGCCATTAGGAACGAAGGGGCTGCTGCTCTGGGGCTGGGGGCCCTGGGACTTTTTCTTCATTAGCACGCAGGTCAGGGAGCACTATCACGGCTGCCCAGCTGGCACATCCTCCCCTGCCCCCGAGAGAGCTTCATGCTCCAAATCCCACTGTCAAGCCCAGTGGAGGAACCACCCAGACGGTGGCCTCTGACAGGGTAGTTCATCCATGGGACGGTCGGGTCCCACACCACCATAGAGACTATCATTCTCTTCCAAGTCCCCTGTTGGTCCACTGCTTTTTCTAATGAGGCAAGCAAGGGACAGGCCAGTGAGGGATGCTGGAGGGGTTCAGACAGTATGGAAACCCCACTATGACTGGATAAATCGGAGCAACCCATCAACTTCCTGGGCCTCTGCTCACTGCACATACCCTGTGGTTAAGTAGGGGCTTGCAAGGGTTGGGGGTAGCTCCCAACACAGCCCTCGTCACCAGCCAGTTGTGTTTCCCACAACTCTGAATAATACAATGGCAGATACTATTAGTGGCCTTGTTTCACAGATGAAGAAACTGAGGTACAGAGGTTTCACCATTTGCCCAATGTCCCCCAGCATGGGCAGACAAGTGGCACTCATGCGATCTAAGCTAAGCCGTACAGCTCTAGGGTCCAGCTGTGGCTGATACCCGCCCAGCATCTGGCTCCTGGTAGATGCTAAGTCAGCAGTGCTGGGGCACAGAGCAGCATTCCTAGTCCCTCATCCTGCCACCTGGCTGCCCTGTCCATCTGCTGGCTGGGAAGCAGGGTTCCTGGCAGGGAGAGGCCAGAGAGAATCAAGTTCCTGCTAAGATAGCATTTGAAGTCCCCCAGATCCCTGAGACTGTGCTGCACAGGACGGGGACATGGGGACAAGGTACCAGCTCAGATACTACAGGGGCAGAACAGGAGTGCCCAGAGCAGACTAAGAAGTCAGGGGACCATGGAAGACACCACTCATAAAGATGCAGAGTGAGACCAGGGACTATAGAAAGATAGATCAGGACAGCCCCACCTTCCTCAGGGACGCAGGGAACAGAAGAATGAGGCATGGGCAAGGGATTTGGACAGTGGCAGATGGTTCCCAACCCCAGCCTGCTCCAAATTCAGACAAAGGGCAGCGCACTTCAGGCAGGGTTAGGCAGGGGTTGCTGGCCAAGGGGGCATTGTCATGGGCCCTCATAATTAGAAAAGGACAGAAGGGCAAGCACTGCCCAGGAGTGCTTCCTGCGGCACATCAGGCACTGTCCTGGGTGTCACCTTCACCCCCGGATTACAGGGAGGAACCTGAGGCACAGAAGACAAGGGGTTCCACTGGAAGCCACAGAAACAGTTTCCATTTAGACTCAGATTCATCCAGTGCCCAAACCCACTAGGAAGTTCACACAAGGCCATCGTCAGTGCTGCATGCTGAACTGCTGTAGTGAAGTCATCCCCCCAAGTGCTAACCTTAGGAACGACATCTCTTTGGAGGTGGGGTCGTCATAGGGGGAACAAGTTAAAGTGAGGTCGTTAGCGTTGGCCCTCATCCAAAGAAACTGGTGTCCTCGTGAAAAAGACAAATTAGAGAAACGATAGCTAAGGAAGAGGGTGGGTGACACAGGGAGGGGCCCATCAACAAGCCAGGAGGAGGCTGCGGGATCCACCATGCTGATGTCCCAACCTTGTACTTCTAATCTCTAGGAGAGAGAACAGGTTTTGGTAGTTTCTGATCCCCAATCCCACCCCTCCCCCTAACCTCCCCCACCCTGACCCGTGTGTGTGTGTGTGTGTGTGTGTGTGCGTGTGTGTGTGCCAGAAAGTACTACCCCCACACCCAGGCCTCAGTTTCTCCACCCATGTCTGGTGTGAATCATGGGTGGCCTTTAGCAGCCACGTGGTACCTGGCAAGGTAGGCAGTTGATGCAATTGGAAGGAAAGCAGGAGGGGAGGTCTGGGGTGCTTCCCAGCCACAATCCTGGACCACAGTCCCTCCACAGCCCCAGGCGCAGCTGCAGCAGCAGCAGGCCCTCTGGCCCAAGTAAGAGAACGCCACGGCCACTTGCTCTTTTTTGAGGCTGGCTTCTTGGCTCATCTTGGAGATTTCATTTATCAACCCAGCAGGGGGCTGACCAGAGGCCCCAGCATCAATTACTCCTGCCCCTCACCCAAGGTCTGGCTGGGCACAGAGAATCCGCAGGAAAAATAATATGCATGGAGTCTCGGGATGAATCATCTCGGAGGAAGCAGCTGTGTTGATGAAATTTTAAAGCCAACATGAGAAAGAAAATATGAAGTGTGCCACAGTAATTTAGCCCATGAGCGCTCTGGCACATTTTTAATTAAAGCTATTTTGGAGTTAAATAGAGGCTGTGGGGGAGGGGTAGAGGAAGAAGGGGTAGGAGTCGTGGGAGACTCTCTGGCCTCCCACTCAAGGCCACATCAGCTAATGCCAGTTCAGAGAATGATACCCCTTACTCTTGCACCCATGCACCATCTCTCTGCTTTGTGAGAAGCTAGAGGTTTCTCTGGAATATGACAAAATTATGAAATTCAACATGGCAGAGCCACGAGGCTGAGGATGGCGACTGTCTCACCACCCGAGTCCCCTTCAGGATGCTCAAATGCGGTCCTGCAGTCACAGCAAGACCACCTAGATAAACCAATGCACCTTTGCTACCTGATAAGCAACCCTTCTTGGTTAAGCAGACCTTCCTGATCCTGGGTGAGAACCTGCCTTCCTTCTGGGCCTAGAAGGCTATGTGGGGGGCAGCCATGGGCTTCTCAGGTTGTACTCAGCCATGCCAAGTGTGGAGGACATGGATGTGACCATTGCCACTGAGAGTCTGCAACCTGAGTTCGAGTAATTGGAAGCACGGCAGGGGTGGGGACAAGGAGCCACAGGAAGGAGTGTGACAGGACAGAATCAGCCAAAAACAGACATGACAGCCCAGGGCCAAGAAAGCTGGGAGCAAGTGTGGATAGGGTGCACAGAGGGAGACAGGAATGTAGACAGAATCTAGGCAGGGACAGGACAGGGGCAGAGCTGACTCCTGCCCAGGCCTCAAGGCTCCACCTCCTGCAGGAGGGTGGGAGGGGCTGTGGGTAAGGAGAGCCTGCTTATGGACCAGGGCCGCCCTACAAAGGAAGGAGAAATGGGCTGCTCCTGTGGCTTTCATGTTCACCTGTTGTACGAGTCCATGGCCGGGTCCAACCCTTGAAACCGGGTTACAGGTTCCCAGTGGGGCAAAGTGGCCCTGGATAGCAGAGGCAAAAAGTCAAGGGACAACCCCTATTCCTAGAGAAATAGGAGCATGAGCTGGTCTCTGATTGACCTTAAGCGACAGAGCAAGCAGCATCCTGAATTTGGAACTTGCACTCCCACCTGCTTCTCCACAGGAACAAAGAACGTCCAGGCTGAGGCTGGCTCTAGCCATCAACCCCAGGGCCTCCGCTGGGGCCCTAGCATATGGTTCTGGCCTTCACTCTGCAAAGCAATGGCCCATCCTCCAGAATCAAGCACTGGAAGGAAAAACTCCCTTCCCTCCCGCATTGGAACCCCACCTGTCCAGTTGAGCCTCAGTCCCCACATGCCCAGAGAAGCCACTATGTCCTGTAGGCAAAGCCCTTCTACCATAGAGCTCCTGCAACCAATATCAAGCACAAAGGATAGCCTCGTGACTCTGCCTATTGCACACTAAAGCAAGCGTGCATGTGTGCGTGTGTGTGTGTGTGTGTGTGTGTGCGTGTGCGTGTGTGTGTGTGTAGAGAGAGAGCAGGGAAGACGCCAGGCTGTGGGTTCAAACTGTCCACATGGCCCCAGCAGAGAAGGATAATGGAGACGACACAGTGGGACTATATTCACTGCTGAGATGTGAGCCTCCCAACAGCCACCAGTGGACAGAGGAGGCCACAGTCTTCCTGTGCTGGGCGGTGGGCATCAAGCCCAGCAGGTCGCCCAGCAACAGTGCCAGGCATTTGAGCTATCTTTGAGGCTGTTCCCCAAAGAAACACTTAGAGCATCCAGGCATAGTCATTTGTGGGCCAATAGTACGGGAAGGAGAGATTGAGATTAAGCCCCAGGGTGAGTCCAGGGGAGACAGAGACTAGAGGGACTGGTCAAGCCTGCTGGGCTCCCAAAACCACAATCAGGGCACACCACAGCCGCTCATCACCAGGCCCCATGCCACCCTCACCCACAGCAGGAAAGGTTTCTTGTCTCCTCCATGTCTGGCCACAGTCCACAGTTCAGTGCCCTCTCACCTGACACCTGCCCTCCACCACCAGCCCTGACTACCAAGCCTCACCCACCATTCCAATGAGTCCCACTCTGCACAGGCCCGCAACTCCATCTGTCCATGTGAGCTGGGTCAGGCCTGGGAGGCAGGAAGGTGGTCCCAGAGAGGAACTGGTCAGCAAATCCAGTGTGACAAAGCTAGCAGGAGGTGAGAGTTCCATGTGACTCTGTCCACATCTGCCTCCATTCATAGGGACAAAGTGGCCCATTTCTTCACTAATCATGTGACCTTCCTCTCTAGCTGGGTCCAGTGCAAGCCACTGTGGAGCTTGCAGACCCCCAGGAAGGGGCAGTCAACATGATTGAGAAGCCCCAGCTGCCCTGGAACCTGATTAGAGTGAGGACTGGGTTTGTGACCAAGCTTCCTGAGAGGTGGCTAGAGAAACAGCAGGGGTAGGGTGGAAGGAAGCCCCAGGGAAGCTGGAGATAGCCCAGAGCAGTGGCTATTGGGGCACTGTAACCAACACCCCCGTGGTTCACTTACCTGTGGAGGGAACTTGTCACCCTCCAACAGCTTCACCTTGGTCTCCAGTGGCCTGATGTAGGTAGATAAGGGATCTAAAGAACAGAGAAGAAGGAGGAGGTGTGTTAGCCACCAACAGACTCCCCCATGGGCAGACCCCAGCTCCACTCTAACACTCCCTCCATGTGGGCCTCAGAGTCTGGCTTCCAGAGAAGGAAGCTGATGGCAGGTTCCCTGGCCCACGTGTCCTGGGGGTAATGTCTTCTTCCAAGAAATTTCAGGCCCAAAAATTAGTTATAAATATCCATAGCCAGGGATGGCCTGCCTCAGGGCCCAGAGTCAAGTGGACCCCTCTCGCCTATGCCATGGAGAAACTGAGGCCCATGGGCATAACAAGTGATGGTTAATCTTACCTGTCATGTCTACTGGCGTGAGATGCCAAGATTTGTAAAGAGCACTTCTGGGTGTGTCTATATGGGTGTTTCCAGAGATGACTGCCGTGGGCAGTAACTGAGTGGCAAAGACCCTCCCGGGATGTGACAGAACATCCAATAAGCTGAGGGCTCACATGGGCCAGAAGTAGAATCAAGCAGCTTAGTACTCCAAGTCCTCCCCACCCCTACTCTCTCTTTCTCGCCTCACCACCCCTGATCCCCTATGAGGTGAGCAGCCTCCTCTGCCATACACTCCTAACTGCCTCACCTCAGGCCACCCTGAGACTGACACCTTGAAAACCAAACCATAAGCCAATATACATCTTTCTTCCATTAAGCTGTTTTTGGTCGGATATGTTGTCACAGCAAGGAAAGGTTGGCTAACCCTCCAAGCTGGGCCTAGGATTGCTACTGCACCTGCCCTTCTACGGGAGAGCTCACCACCATCTGGGAATTGCTGCAATCCAGTCAGGAAACATATACTAGAGGGGAACATCCCCCTTTCCTACTCAGTTCTCACCTCTTAGTACAACCAGGAGCAGGTGCTGGGGGCCAGGTACCCCAGGAGAGTACCTGGGGGCGTTCCCCAACCACCGATCACTGGGTCCAGCTTTCTAAACAAGGCCAGGGGGGCCGAAGAGACAACCCCATGCATACCACTGCTGAGGAGAGGAAGTCTACCCACCCCCACGACACTGCCCCTGTTTTTTTATCACATCGAAAAAACCGGCTGAGTCTTACCCCATACCACTTCTGTCTCTGTCTCCTAGCCCAGGGTGCAGTGGAGTGCACCTGACTCAACACGGCAGGAGAGAACTCAGGAAGGGAAGAGACAGCAGGACACAGTACTCCAGGGGACTGCAGGACCCGTTCCAAGCACCTCCAGAGCCCAAAGGCATGCAACACCGTATAGTCACACAGCCACCCACTTGAAGACAGATTACTGGGCCTCTTGCTAGAGGTCAGAGAGCTTGGTAGCCAGCTGGGACTCCATCCATAACCACAGTGAGTCACCAACTTCTATCCCCAGCCCCAAAGGACGCAGAGTCTCTTAGGAACTTCATACCCCAACCTTTGACCTCAGAAGACAGGAGACAGCAGACTCTGACCAAAGGCAGCTATTGAATCCACCCCAGGGGATGTGGGGCTTGGGAACAGACCACATGAGCTTCTAAAATTTCTAGGTGCACTGAGGGGCTTGGAATCTGCTGTGGACAAGCCAGGAACACTGGGACAATGAGGCATCTATGTGCTCTAACATGAAGGTGGCATGATCCCAGATGAGCCCACCCTTGGTATCCTTATATCTAATGTTATGTCCTGCCCCTATTCCTACCTCCATCCACGGGCTCTAACGAGGGTCAGATGTGGCGCTTCCTGCTGTAGCCCAACAGGGACATAAGTCCCCAGGAATTCCTGCACCCACACAGGCGCCCAATTCCCTTACCCTTGACCTGTCCGTTGTGTGACACTTTCTTCCCCAGGTCCCTGGGGTTCCTCAGGGACCCCGACCTACTCAGTCCAGGTCCACAGGGCCCAGCAGAGCATCTGGTCCAGCCCAGGTCAGGTAAAAAGATGGGAATTCAGAGGTGGGAGCACAGCCCAGCCTACTCAGTGCTGGAGAACAGACAAACTAGACCCTCCCTCCTCCTCATTCCCAACAGTCATCCCTCAGGAATGTGGAGCCTTTTACCAAGGAGGAGGAGGAGGAGGAAGAGGGGGAGGAGGAGGGGGAGGGGGAGGAGGAGAGGGCAATTCCTTGGCAAGGCCTGGCTGGCCCACCCTCAGGAATAACAGCAGTACCCGGCACAGGGCAGCCCGAATGGGGGAGTACTGCCTCGGGCCCCAGCCTCACCACAGACTCTACACAACAGTCAGCAGCAATACAGGACTCCAAGAAGGAAGGAACAAGTACAGCTGAGACTCCCCTGATCTTCATGTCCTGCATCCTGTCAAGGCGAGGTCCCTGGACACCAGCAGGGCACCAGTAGAAGAGGTACATTCCGAAGACCCCACTGAGTATTGGGGATGTGTCTCAGTGGGTAGAGTGCTTGCCTGGTATGCATGAGGCCCTGGGGTCAATCCCCAGCACCGCACAGGATGGGTCTCATGGGTACTATAATTCCAGTATTTGGGATGTGGAGGCAAGGGGATATGGAGCTCAAGGCTGTTCTTGGCTACATAGAGTTTGAAGCCTGCCTGGGCTACATGAAACCCTGTCTCAAAAATTAAAAAAAGATTCCACTGAGTTAAGACATGAAGACCCCAATCACCTCATCCTGATCCCTGTGTGTATGGCACACACAAGGGACAAGCACCCATTTTCCTTCTTTTCAAGATGAGGCCACAAGGAACAAAATGCCTCACTCATGGGGTATGGGAAACCTCCCAGCCCTTGTCCAACTACCAGCCCCACTCTGCAGTTCAGTCTTGGGGATCACCCCAGGCAAGGCCTTGGAGAAGAGCTTCCCAGTTCACAGAGGGGAGCCAGCATTCTGATATCACCTCCCTCCTGGATTCTCTGCTATAGCAAAATTCCCTGGCATGGCCACGTGGCACACACAGACACACACACCAGGAGACACTGCTCCCAGGCACAACCCTAACTCAGAGCTAGATCCATCCACTTAGGTGTGACCAATGACCAAGTAGGGATGTTAGTTAACTGGTATACTGCCCTTTACAGCCACAGAACCATTTTAAAAAGGTTCTGGATGTTGCTCATCCATCTCCCTCAGTGGTTTTCTGTGGGGTAAGCAAGAAGCCTCCAGCATTTCTCCCTCTCAGTCAGACCACAGTGGGAGTCAGGCCTGGGACCGCAGGCCACAGATGTGCGATCCAGCCTCAGCACCCTCCATGGATGAGCTTGCCTCTGTCTGAGTAGCCAAGGGTCCAACACCTTTCGTCCAGGATGGCAGTAAGGAGAACAGAGCAGTGGCGGAGAAAGGGCAGACAGGCCATTCACAAGCTCCCCCACCAGTCCATGGCCAGCACCAAGCCTCATGGCCCACAGTCCCAACCCAGTAGGTCAGCTGTCCTTGTTGAAGAAGCACAACTGGAGGCCACATCCATGGTGCCAGAACAAGGAATGACCCAGCTGAAGTCCCTTGCCATTTACCCGAAGACCTGGGCTGCTTGCTACACAAAGCAAGATACACATCAGAGCAGGATTTACAGGGAGAGAAGGAGGGGGAGAATCTTTTTATTTTCCAAAAGAACAAAAGTAACAGCTCAAAAGCCATTTGACATCCTCCAGTAATTCCGATGGAATCTAGCCTACAAGAATCAATTCTAATTATAAAGACAGAGTTAAAGTGGCCAGAACTGGAAATAACTATTTGTCTAACAATGCTGAGAGTTCCACCCTGTCATCATTAAAATGATGTTTAGAAAGAGTCTCTCTCCTGAACAACATGGAAAACTATTTAAGATGCCAGTGGAAAGGACTGGACACAAAATTATATGTATAATACCTGCTGCATTTAAAAATATCTACGCACGGAAACAAATTTAGGAAGGAAGCACAGGGAGATACTGACAGTGGCAGTGCACGCATGACGGAATGCGTGAGTTTTTTATTCACACCATTTCTAGTTAATTTTCAAATAATCTACATCTAACGTAACAAGAAATTTACCTTCTAAACTAGAATACCGAATGAAATTATAGCACCTTCCCACCTCCCCCTACTCCAGTGGTCACTCGTTTTTAACATTCTCCATGCCTGACGTTGTCCCCACCCAGTTCTACAAACCAGACTCTCCGGGAGCCAGGCAGCTAGGACTCTAAGTGCCCTTTGGGTCAGGAGCAGAAAGGAAGAAAGAGAGGAAGGGGGCCTTTCTGGGTGGGAGCTGGAGGGCAGGCAGCTCCCTCATGATCTCACCGGGTGCCTCCCAGGCTCTGGGAGATGAGCAGGTAATTAAATTAATCCCAGGGCCTGAAGTAACAAGGGCTGGAGCCACGAGGGAAAGAAACATCACTGCCCAGCTTGGCTGCCTGTGGGCAAAATGAAGGAAATGACCACTAAGAGGCCTAGGATGAGCTGGCCAAGGTGCTCCCCAACCCCTCCTGACACTCCCTCAGGCCATTTCTAGGAGGAGCATGGTCTAGCTTCTGTCTGTCTCACTTCCAAGAAGCAGACATTAGCCCTACTTCCCCTTCCCCTTCCCCGGGCACCCTCTGCTCCCGATGAGCACTCTTCTGGCTTTGAGGAGCCCTCAGCTGGTCCTGCCGGTGACCTCCAGGCCACTCTGCCTGCTGAAAGACTATGAGGTGAAGCCTGGTTTCCCTTCCTAGCAAGATGTTGCCACCGCAGCCCCTTCTCCAGCCCTTTTGATAAGAAATAGAATCAAGAACTAAGTGTGATGCCTCTATAACCCCCTCCTCACTTCACTCAACACATAGTAGGATCACGGAAAAAAAGCCTGAGGACCTGCCCACACATCAGGGGCTGCATGTTCCTGACAGCTCTGCCCCTCTGCTTCTGGGGACCTTCCACATCTCTCTGGCCAGACCCAGGGTGCTGTGCTTGCACAAGTCTACTGAGGGATTGGAAAGAAGCTTCACAGCAATTCAGGTGAACGGAGGCACAGTGAGCTCCCCATCACAAAAGAGAACAAGTCTGGAACACAGAAGACTCCTGGCATGGCTGTGGGGAGGCC